GATATACCACCGATATTTTATTCGAATAATGGCATACTTTCCGTATCTATTTTGTTATTGGCGGACCCGCTCGCTCATACGCCAAATACAATCTTTCCCTCAAAATGCACACTATACCTCTATTGAAACGATGAAAGGTGAGGTCAGGGCCGGGGCAAGGACTGGGTTGCGACTCTCCGAGGCACTCCTTCCTGTTAACTTGGACTAAGTGAGTGGTCCCTTAAATAGCATACCGACTTAAAACAACGATAAACCCTGTGTCGCGGGCCAACAGTCTAATAAGGAGGGTCATATATCGAGCAAAACAAACTTTGGCCAGATTTTCCAATATTCGATAATGATGAAACTAAAAAGAATGTAATACATTTCAGCTACAGGTCCTTCAATTCAGTCAATCATGGGAAGCAGTTTATTTCTACCCAATAGCTATGGGACAATTTGTCCGACGGGATCGGGCCTGCTTATCTCGGAATTTTGACAAAAATGATATGTGTTATTTTACAGGTGATGGATAACTCTTACATTTTGTTCAAATGCGAATTGCCTCCGTGTTATATGTTGGCCAATATCGGGAAAAATAGTCGGAAAAAAAAGATTTTGGGGACAATGGAACCACGTTCTTGCCACTTCAGTCATTTTCTGGTGGACTTTTTTTCACCTATATATACCTACGAATTAAAAAAAATCTGGGATCTATCTAATTTCATGGTTGGTACTTTCGCTTATTGGACTATATTGTTGTTGTTGTTGTTCTTTATTACCCCAAGAAACATATTTGTTTATAATAGGGATACATAAACATATGATATATATATATATATATATAAAACAATAAAAAAAAATAATTAACAAGTTATGTCAATATAACATAATAATTAAAATAAAACCATTCCAAGTATTCAAATGAGAATAAATTGCTCCGTTTATTGTGTCATGAGTATATATTTTTTCATATTGACTTTGAATCTTGTTTCATCATCAATATGTTTCAAATCATAAGGTAATGAATTATATAAAATGATTCCGTTGTAGAATACTGATTGTTTGCCAATGATGGAGTTATATGGGTTTGCTATTAATGAATTCAACTGTCTCGTTGCATGAGTATGAATTGTATTTACTTCAGTAAAGTTCAAGTTGGATATTTTTATTTTTTTTCTCACAAAATGGATGAAAGAACAAATTTTCATTTTATATAAAGATGATAAATTCAACAGATTTTTTGGTTTGTAAAGATTAATAGTTGGTTCCAGGTAATGTAAATTGTAAATGCACTTAATTGTTTTATTTTGTAATTTCATTAATGGTTTCAAATGTGATATACTTGTGCTTCCCCAAATTGATATTAAATATTGTAATTTTGAGTAAATCAGACAGAAATATATATTCTTCAAATATCTAAGAGGAATGAAATTTCGAATTTTGTATAAAATGCCAGTAATTGGATTGAGCTTTTTTCTCAGGTGATCTATATGTTTAGTCCACGATAATTGTTCATCAATATAAAGACCTAAGAATTTTGTAATATCTAAATATTTCATGGCTTTCTGGTTGAAAAATATTGTTGTTTCCGACATATCAGTTTTTCCTTTTGAAATATACATATACGTAGATTCGTCATAGTTAAGGGTCAGCTTATGAATTTGTTACTAAAACGAAAGTTTTGCAACTATGATAAGGTTTTCAGAATCATTATACAAGGTGTCAAAGGAACATCAATATACGAAGAGCTTATTGGCCAGCTCATGGTTGACAAAATATCATAATATGTGGTATACCTTGGTTTCAAATGGCCCAGGAAGAATTGAAGCATATATTTTCCTCCAACCGACAGCAACCATTGATTTTGCAGACACATAATATCAATCAGCAAAGTATTACTTTCCTTTCCTAGGTAGCAAAGTAACTACTTCTCTGTCCAGACAGAAAAAGAATTGTTTCCAATAAGAATGAAACAACAAATCCAACTCAATATTTTTCGCCATCTTCCTCATTCCCATAGGAGTTAGTACTGCTGAATCGTTATCACTGTCCATAATATAAATATACCAATATTTTTCCACAAAATTGACAAACTATAATGATTATGGACATATATATCTCCATAGCAACCAACCCTTCCAACAATTGCAATCTCCATCAAATCATTCAAATCCATCATCACAGGAAAAATAAAAAGATTGTGAGAATTGTAATGATCTGCGGATACAATATCCTACATACAGGGTGTAACAAATTCGTGGCTAAGCATGGAGATCTCGGTAACCTTCAGAGATACAGAGTTGGTTGAGTTAGAGCAAAGTTGCACCATTTCATTTAAGTTCAATAAATTCAAATTATTCCCGGAGATATCCGGAAAAACGGAAAATATACTGGATCGTTTCTACAGGGTGGGCCACCAGTAACGCCTCGGTCTCTAGAAGGCTAACCACTTATCTTCTTGGAATTCTTGCTCTCTAGGAAGTTGCATGTCAACATAGGCTACCATTTAAAATTATTTCGAAACATACAGGGTATCCCCAAAAACCATAAAACACTGAAGTTAAACTTTTTTCTATCGAACACCCTATATATTATTTCATTTTGAGATTCTCCCTGATGAGCTGATTTCAACGACCCATCATACTTGGCGTCTAGCAGTTATAATTACTGAAATATAGGGTGTGAAAAATCGAGATTTTCCAAGTTCAAGAATTTTTTGTGTCGAAACTATTCATAATTGGTCAAAACGGCTCACATGTCCCTATCTCAACTTTTGATTAACTATCTACTGATATTTAATAGGGACATATACCGGGTGATCAAGATTCTGAACTCTGCACCACCCTGTATTTGTTTCAATTAAATGTCAGTAGATAGTTGATCAGAAGTTGAGATAGGGACATGTGAGCCGTTTTGACCAATTATGAATGGTTTAGACACAAAAAATTCTTGAACTTGGAAAATCTCGATTTCTCACACCCTATATCTCAGTAATTATAACTGCTAGACCCAAGTATGATGGATTGTTGAAATCAGCTCACCAGGGAGAATCTCAAAATGAAATAATATATAGGGTGTTCGATTGAAAAAAGTTCAACTTCAGTGTTTTGTGATTTTTGGGGACATGCTGTATGTTTCAAAATAATTTCAAATGGTAGCCTATGTTGACATGCAACTTCCTAGAGAGGAAGTATTCCAAGAAAATAATTGGTTAGCCTTCTAGAGACCAAGGCGTTACTGGTGGCCCACCCTATATTACTCAGTTCATTTGAAGAGATATTCCAAAATAAATGTCTCTTCATCATTGATCCATCCCCACCTCTACGAAATGGCATTGTCAGATTGGAAATCCGACGTTTCTTCTTCTAGCGACCATCATCAACTTCAATTATTTAAATACGTTCCTGGATTTTCTACTTTATCTTTCGATAGTTTTCGATTCCCTTCGTATGATGGTGTATCAAAACATCACTTAAAATGTTTACTTCAATGGAAATATATATCATGAAAAGTATGGAGATACTCATCTCCATCTAACACAGGGTTGTTGGTATTAGTTTGTCTTCGTCTAACAGGCAACTGTTTATTATTTGATGACATGATACAAAAATATTTCCATTTGCACTTAGGCCGATAGGCTTCTTCTAAAACTCTTCTCACGAACCTTTCAACAGATCGCCGTCGTAAAGATCTAGAAGCGGTTTTCTGTCGCAGTTCTGCTATGGAGGCAATAGAGCCGTTTTTGTGAACAATGTTCTTCATGGCACCCTAGTGAAAAGGTCGAGTGGCGGTTTTAGAAAGAGCAAATAAATGCTCAAACGCAAACGGAAATATTTTCGAGCATTTACTATAAAAGAAAACTGGATGCTGGGATTTTTTTTCATATTGGATATCATTCGTTTTATTAGATTGTGTTTTCATCATTCATAAATATTATATCATTCTGAATAATGTTTTAGACAAAGAAAAATTAATACAAAAGATGAATATCTCCATACCTTCTTAAAACAATTTTTTCACTGGAGTAAACATTTCATGAATTGTTTTGGTACACTAGCGTATCAAGAATATCGAAAACTATCGAAGAATTAAATGAAAACTCCAGGCCCGTCTTTATGAAAATAAAGTTGACGATGGCCGCTCGAAGAAGAAACATGAGATTTTCAATTTGACAATGGGCTCGTATCACAAAAAAAAATTATTTCATAATTCGATAGAACTCACCCAAACTAGCTCTCCACCGCAAACCGTTTCTTGCTGTGAGCTCCCTACGTTTTATAAAAAATTATTGTCGTCCCCGATTTTTCGGACTTCTGAAAAAGAGGCGATGATGTGACGTCAAAACCCTAATACTGAAACAAGACTATTCCAGACGAAGATGAATGATACATGATTTCTGACAGAGTGAATTAGCGCGAGATCATAGTTGAAAGAATCAATATATCAGTTGCCTCAGTCTCCGTCGGGCGTTTGGTATTTTCTTTTAACTATGGCGAGATGAGGTTTCTACGTCATAAGAGGGCCTGTTTTCAGAAGGTACTATTATTTATGTCCAAAAATTGAACATTTTAGTAAATTCGTCAATCATTATTTATGTATAAAAGGATCATTATAAACATGGTTTGAGTTGAAAGTTCTACTAAGGTGTACACGCCCATTCCATTTTGTAGGAGGAGAGAGATAAGTGGCAATGGTGAAGTGATATTAATTCTATAAATAAACGTATACACTGTTTCCCTTCCTTCTCCGATATCTCCATAAATAATTGGAACTTTTCTAATTTCGAAGCAGCATTTTGTTGGGCATGAAATGGTGCCTTTACCCTAATTCAACCTACTCTGTATCTCTCAAGGTCACCATGATCCCAGTGCTCAGCCACGAAAGACAAAAATCATCCCTTACATCGTCACTGAAATCGGCATTAGCTGAATCAGCTACAGGTTCACATCAATTACACTAACAAAGAACATAATTATGTATAATTCTGCTACATGATAGATTAATTAGCAAAAACTAACCTGCGTAGCCAATGATGAAAACAGAATGCCTCACAGCAAAAAGTTCTTCCAACTGTACCACCTTCAGTATGAATCCATCCTCTGGCTGTAATTTCAGATCAACCGCAGTTTTCTTGATCATCTTCTCGAATTCCATAACACGTTTCCTGGGCACATCCAGAGCAGGAAACAGATCTCCAATCAACCCCATGAAGACCTTGAAATTTAATTTCCATCATGATGATAGTTATTCATGTACCTATATTGTCAATTATAGTTAATTCTGCAAATTCGTAGCCTGGGCTTTAGCCGAAGCTATAGCAATCGGGCGATACAATATAGACAGTTTTTCGCCGAGGTGCATATTACATCTTTTCGTCGACCTCAATAACACTCAGATTCACATCACGGTCGTATTCACACATGAAATCTATCGGATTTCGTGAATGCTCAATTCGACAACAGCAAATGACAGTTGTTGTCAACTCAGTCTCCGCGCTTTTCATTCCATCAGTAAATACCTTTTCAGAAAAGATTTCAATATATCTGTTTGAGATCTATTTCATGCTATACGAATTCAAAGAGAGGATAATGAAATAAAGCTATAGTTATTTTATGCTCACAAATATCACAAAATACAGTTACATAGGTACTTATAAGATTTGAGTATATAAATAACTGGAACGAATAGTAAAAATAAACAACAATAATACAAGACAAATGAAAAAAGATTTTGTAAGGAGCAAACTGTTATAACGGAGGTATATGAAGAATTGAATTTGATCTGAATCAGATATGGTATTGTCCTTTTTTGATTAAACATATCATTATTACCTATTCATGTTCATTTATTACTTGTGTTGTAAAATCAATTCAAACTGTTTCATTAGATCAATATGCAAATCAGGAGATCTACTGAAATACAATGGGGAAGACCACTGAGGGAAGAAATCCGTGCAAACCTCTTTCAATCGACGAATCTTGATCTACGTTTTATGTACAATCAATATTACGAGTTGAAGTTGAAGGGAATCGAATCTATATCGTTTTAAAATCAGCATATTTCATTCGATATTTAAAAAAGCTAAATATGATGGTGAAGCCGTGACGTATCAGTCCCGAACTGTAGCTATCCCTCTCTGATACATCGTCATTCTGCAGTGTTGCAGTGTGATTGGTCAGTTCAAGGGCAATAGGCGTGTTGGGACTGAGACGTCGCACCAGTCACACCAATGAATTGACAAAAATTCAAATGGCGCAGGAGTTGTGTGTTTTGAAATTGACATATTCTAATTCATTTATTTCATCTTCTTAGCATGACTGAAAAAAATCAAAATTAATTCAATGATAGTTTTTCAGTATAGAGTTCACAATAATGTCATTTCAAAAAATCAGTGGTCTCCCCCATTGATGCTTTCTGTACTACAATTGACTATCCTGGAATACAATTGACGGTTTCTGAAATTCAATTGATGCTATCAAAAATTCAACTGGAAAAGGTGTCGTTTCATTGTATTTCCGGGCATACCTTCTCTAACTACACTCACCGGCAAATAAACCGGCCACCAAAAAATTTGCCCAAATTGTTCACACTATAACTTTTTCAATCCTTGTCGGATTTTTGTAAAATTAAAATCAAATCGTAGATTCATGTTCTGGAATATTGACCTATTAGTTTTCCTGAAAAGCCGATGACTTGATTATTACACAAGGAAAAGCCAAAGTTACTCTTTTCCCCCTTTACTTCTCAACGCCCTGTGGCAAAATTTCGTAATTGAACATGAACATGGCTTCATTATGTTTCGGATCGAAGTGTGATCCCCTCTTGACACAAAAGTTTTCGATTCACGTCAATATCTTATTTTTTCTTCTTATTTTTAAGAAGATACGAGTGTTTCAAGGAAGTATGGTGTTTTTCAACTTTTACCAATAATCAAAACTTACATGAACTTATTGATTAACAACTTCAAGGATAAATGTAACATATTTTCACCTTACTTTCTTAGCTGTTACCGGAAGTTCATTTAGAAAAAACAAACAAGAAGCAGGCCTGTAGTCAATAACGAGTTTGCTCTCCTCGATATTGAATTTCAGCATTCAATCGCAGTGGCATTGAATTGATCAAATTACTCGAGTAGCCTTGAAGAATTGCCTAAAATCCTCCTTGGAGGGCGAATCGTAGCTCTTGAAGAGTATCTGACAAGGCTGGGCGAAAGCGAATGAGCCTCTAGAGGTCACCCCTAAGATAGGTAGATAGATTCTGAATCATTGTTATTGAAATTTTAAAAAATCTATTCTATCTTGTAATACTAGTATCTCCTCTCAAAAAGGAGATATTGACGTTATTCAAGAACCGTTTCATGAAGAAGGAACAAAAGAGGATCACACTTCAATTTGAAACATGATGAAGCAGAAGGTTGGAGAATGGTTCTGAATTATTGTAAATAAAAATTTTAAACATCCATACTATCTTGAAACACTGAATCTTCTTTGAAAAAATGGTTATCGACGTGAATAAAAAACCATCATGTAGCGAAGAGATCACTCTTTAATCAAAAACATAATAAAGCTGAGTTAAACCACTCATTTTTTCTACAGGGCAATAAGAAGTTAAGGGTGAAGAAGAAACTTTCGTTTTTCCCTGTATCGGAATTTCACCAAAATCGAACCAGAATTGAAAAGTTACAGAGCAAACAATTTGGCTAAATCATTTTGTGGCCGATTTTTTTGCCGGTGAGTGTATAATGATTTGGTATGTATTGTCTCAGAGCAGGCAGCTGTAAAAACATACTCACGGGAACATCGTCTGTCACAATTTTTGGTATATTGAAATCTCGCAAGGCTCTCATCAGAACTTGATCCTCTGGCCTCTGCCTATCTCCCCTCTTCAAAGATCCAGCCACCACCAGCACAGACTTGATGGCCCTCAAGCCCCAATCGTAGTGGTCTTGCTTGCTCAGCAGTTCCTTGCATAGAGTGTACAGGGTGATGAATTTTCTTGCGAGCAGTCTGGCTTCGAGGAAACCTGATGGGTTAGTCACATCATTAGCGATAAGTATATGAGAAATACTAGTGAAAAATCGATGGAGATATTGTGAGTAGGTATGCCCGTGACCGAATTCCATTACAGTTTCCATTTTTTCTATTGAAGGTCATGAGAGGAGCTTCATTTCATTGAATTCTATTAATTTCTTGAGAAGTATCATAAAAATGAGCCAGGTAGCCGTGCGGACATGGTGTCAATATTCTAATTCGCATTCGCTTGCCGGTCGTGGGTTCGATTCCCATCGACTGCAGAAATTTTTCTGAGGGCCCAAGAGAGTGTTTGGGATCACACGTTAAAAGGTAAGGGCCCCGTCATTCCTTGCACGCACAAGACTCTCGAAGTCTTCTGAGGGTTGCTCGTAAAGGGGCAACCGAATGACGGATAGAACAATTTCAGAACAAATTCATTTCAAACCTGATCACCCTGCTAGATATGAATAGAAATTCGAAGTTCGACAAAATATTCAACAGCAGTTCGATATAGTGAGATTACTGTTCCAGGACAGCTGTTCGACATTGGAAACGGAAAGACTCAATTCAATATAAACGTTTTTCTACATACGTCATAAAATGACAAGGTTCGCGCATTGATAACAAATTGCGGAGTGACACTTTTTTTCAGTTTCCTACGTTACCATGATACCTTGCACAAAACAATGCGCGAAGTTATGAAAAATATATGAAATATTTATATTTCAACTTTATGATCCTCAATCGAGCAAACATCCACGGATTCATTCATTTCTGAATGTTCTACAATAACTTTGTTTTATCTCTTGGATCGCACGGAAGGAAATTCCTATTATGTTCGTGAAACATCGTGTGTACCTAGGGAGGGTAGGGGGAGGCCTTTCAAGCCAGTTCAACAGTATTTTTTATATCAAGCTAAGCATATTTTTACTTCAGAACTATATTTTTTGACGTTTGTAGAAAAAATGTTGTTTGCAACTCGAGCGCAAAATATTTTGGTCATCTCGACTATCTTTTCAACTCGGCTACGCCTCGTTGAAAAAATCAGATCTCGATCACCAAAGTATCATTTCGCGCTCTAGATACAAAAATAACTATTTATATCATTTGTCTCAACCACACAACACCACGAAACACCCTCCTAATTTAGAGCTTCTCGACCAATTTTCAGAAACAAGAATTTCATACAGAGTGTTATTTAATTGATGGCTAGAAATGAAGGACATGATGTCTTAGCTCATCTCGAGCAGACAACTTCATATGAACATATGCCCTTATATAGCCTCTTAACTTTCGAGCTATAAAGTGTTGAAGTCTTAAGAGGAGAGATTCAACCAAATCGACATGCAGGCCTTCACTAGATGTTGCTATATGGGCTTATGAATGATTCAATTGAAAAACTGATTAAATCATCGTAAAGAAGAAGGTTGGGACTAGGGCCTGGTTATCATACGGAGTCGAAACTCATTTATTTATAGAAGATACAGATTTTTGAAAAACGTAAACATTGAAATTTTTTTGTCTCAAATTGAAATATTTTCGATCTCAGTACAATTGTTGGAAATTCGGCAAGGTGCCACTGGAATATCAGCTCTTGAAATGTTTCCATTCGGACAGGAAGCAACAAAAACGATTATTCTGTCAACAAAATATCCATTCATCCCAGCTGATCTCGGTAAACTCCATTTCTTGAAAGAATGTAATGCAGGAAACTAGGATGTGGTAGTTCAGGCACTACCTGATAGATGGCAGTGTTCGAAATGACAGACTGCGGCAGAGAGGAATGGTGCATTGTATTGCAAGCAGATGGCGCTTAGGAGAGATGATGAATTCAAACCCGTTTACACCGTTGCCAATGTTATACATATTACTCGGACATATTATGAAATCTAGGCGACGTGATAATACAGAGGGTATTATTCAATTATCTGGGCATATTTCAAGGGGAGGTTCTCCGAGTGTTTGTAAGACGAACAAATCTAATATATAAAATTCTCCTGTCACGGTCACGGTCATAGTGGTCGAACTCCTCCGAAACGGCTCGACCGATTCGTATGAAATTTTTTGTGCGTATTCGGTAGGTATGAGAATCGGTCGTAATATATTTTTTAAATAGAAAATACAAAATGGCGGATCCAATATGGCGACCGAGTATAGTTATCCGATTTCATTCAAAATTGGTACTCAGGGGTTTTCGGGGTCGGAGATTTTGAATATTTCGTCAAATTTTGGAAATTCAAGATGGCGGATCCAATATGGCGGACGAGCTTTGTAATTATGGTCAGATTCCATCCAAAATTGGTATCTGGGGGTTTTCGAGGTCGGAGATTATGATTTCTTCATCGAAATAAGGAAATTCAAAATGGTGGATCCAATATGGCGGACGAGTTTTGTAATTATTTTTTTTATCGCTTGGAGCGCACGAAAGGAAATCCCTATAATGTTCAAAGAACATCGTGCGTTCCTAGGGAGGATAGGGACAGGAGGTAGGTATTGGAGTTTTTTTTTTGAACTTCTGGAGATTATATGTTGTTGGGAATACTTCCTCGGGCACTGAATTCCAGAGCCTAGCCGTTCTATGGATGAAGGAGTTTTGATAAAGTGCTGTTCGACATCTTTCGAGGTTGACAACGAAAGGATGTGCTGACTGGGCTTGTCTACTTCGTCTGGTATTGCTAGTGGAGGGATGATAGCCATTTCCCGTGGAAGTATCGATAGAAAAGTGAAAGGTCGCCGACCTTTCTACGGTGTTCCAATGATGTCAAAGAGTGAGTGAGTGTGGCGTCACCCACCAGGCGAATGGCTCTTCTCTGGATGGAATCTAAGATAGCATCAGCGTATGTTTTGGTGCTGAACAGAACAGATTGGTCAGATATCATTCAAAATTGGTATCTGGTGGTTTTCGAGGTCAGGGATTATGATTTTTTATCAAAATTAGGAAATTCGAAATGGCGGATCCAATATGGCGGACGAGTTTTGTAATTATGGTCAGATTCTATTCAAAATTGGTATCTGGAGGTTTTAGAGGTCGTAGATAATTATGAATCATTTGTCAAAATGGGGAAATTCAAAATGGTGGATCCAATATGGTGGAAGAGTTTTTTAATTATTATGATCAGATTCTATGTAAAATTGGTATCGGGGGGTTTTCGGAGTCGAAAATAATGATCCTTTTATCAAAATTTGGAAATCCAAGATGGCAGATTCAATATGGCTGACGAGTTTTGTAACTTAATCCGATTCCATTCCAAATTTGTATATTGGGGATTTTGGGATGGGAGATTATGATTGTTCATCAAAATAAGGAAATTGAAGATGGAGGATGGCAACTGAGTTTTGTAGTTATGATCCGATTCTATTCAAAATTTGTATCTGGGTGTTTTCGGGGTCGGAGAAGAATTAGAAAACAAATGAATATAAGTATGTTGATAAATATTTAACTAAAAAAATATTTTCTGGAAATAATTGTATATTGCAGAACAACGTTTGCCGGGTATCAGCTATTGTAATAAATATTGCTTTGAAAAACTAATGAAACACCTTTTTATAGATAGCCATACTAAAAAGAAATGAGTAGAAAATAAAGAGTAGTTTGAAAAAATGAAGAGGTATAGAGAACCGAACTAAAAAGAACTAGAAAATAAATAGAGTAGTTTGAAACGGCCTAGAATTTGTCACTGAATTAAAATTATATAAGTAGACCTGAAAATTTAAACATACAAATTCAGCAGAATTTCTTCAATTCTATTCATGAGATCGATAATTATGTCAGCATATAGATGGAAATAATAGGAATGGCACAGTTGTGGAACAAACTTCAAAAAGCTTTGTTGATCTGTGTCAGAAGTTCAGGTTATTTCACTCTAAAACTCATGCAAAAACATTCGTCTCAGAACTCTCAGAGTACAGTTCTCAGATTTTGGATCCATTGATATGGCGAAATTCACAAAGGATAATACCGCCACGGCAACAAAACAAAACTGAGCGAGAAATCGTTATATGTCTCTCTCCCTCCCGCGGCGAACCGGGGGGATATTCATTGGTCGCGCGGTGATTCCCCGTCTTTCCGCAGTCCGCCACGTGCCCTTTGAATTGCGTGAACTTCAGATGAACTTCAAACTAACCGGCATATAATCAATAATTGAAAAGCCAGTGTTGCAAGCTGCTGCAAATGATATGTCGCAAAAATTCATAAGAATGGGCAGAAAAGCGAGGCAACAGGAAAGTCAGCCACATACGAAATATTTGAAAATATAGCAGCCGCTTTTTTTTCGAGACATTTGGAGACGTTATCGAACATCCAGTTCATGTTTTAGAGAATTATCGTAGGTAGATACTTCATATTCCACTTACATCTTCTTTGGGGAAGATTTTTGAAATTCAATGAATTCCGTGATATTAAAATTTTCTTTGAAATATATACAGGGTTATTCATTCAAAACGGTCAATGTGTGAGCTAGAAATAGTAAACATCAGAATATCAAGATTCAGCCTCACATCTCACATCTCACATAGAAAATGTTGTTAGTTTTGTAGAAACAGGGTGTACAAGGAAAATATTTTATTTTGAAATTCCTCATACAATAACTTTGTAAGTTTTAAATCACCATGAAAATGGTCAATGTGTGAGCTAGAAATAGTAAACATCAGAATATCAAGATGCAGCCTCACATCTCTCATAGAAAATGTTGTTAGTTTTGGAGAAACAGGTTGTTCAAGAAAAATATTTCATTTTAAAATTCCTCATACAATAACTTTGTGAGTTTTATATCAGCATGAACATAATTTTCTTATATTTTTTTCATTATAATTCGATTTTTAAATGATTTAAAAAAAGTTGACCATTAAAACAAAATGGATTGTGAGATATAGAAAGCATATGATGGGAAATCAATTTCTCACCGTTATGTCGAAGACCGAAACCAGGGAATCCTGGAAACTTTGGAACGATATAATCACACTCACACTATACATGCACTGTTTTATCACTATCAAACAGAATTTTTATCAACTCGACAAACTTTATTACCTAAAAACATTCGCTGTCTAAGATAGACTAACAAAAACTTTTGAGATGGTGTTCGCTTGAATCTCCAAATTTTGACAAATGATTCAAAATCTCCGACCCCTGACACCAGTAAAAATTTTGAATAGATTCGGATAATAAAATTAGAAAACTTAAAATTGTCCGCTATATTGGATCTGCAATCCTGAATTTCCCAATTTTTACGATAGAATCATAATCTCCGACCCCAAACACCCCTATATATAAATTTTGAATAGGATAGAATCATCATCACATAACTCGTCCGCCATATTGAATCCGTCATCTTTAATTTTTTCATTTCGGGATTCATAATCTCCGACCCCAAAAAACCCCAGATACAAATTTCAAATGGCATAGAATCATAATTACGAAACTCGTGCGCCATATTGGTGGAGCCATGATGAAAGAATCATAATCTCCGACGCCGAGAACCCCCAGACACCAATTTTGAATAGAATGGGATCATAATTATTATAAAACTCGTCAGCCATCTTCAATATCCTAATTTTCACGAAAGAATCATAATCTCCGACCCCGAAAACCTCCATATACCAATTTCGAATAGAATCTAATCATAATTACAAAATACTACATAATATAAGATGAGATGGGATACTGCACCCTTCAAATTTATTGCTATTCATTGACCTCGCGATAACGGGACACGGAACGGGTCGTGACGATGACGCGAAATCCAATGTTTTTCTCCACCCAAAAATGTGCTCAACGCGCCAAGAAGTTCTCACTTCGAAAAAATTGTTTTTTTCATAAGTGCAATTATGATCGAAATTTGTATTTCAGCAAGCAGGTCTGAATTAGAGAACATGAAATTTGAATCAAGGATTTCTTTCATTCTACACACTGTATATATCAATATAACCCTTATATCAGTAATAGCAGTGTGAATTCGTAAGAATGAAGATATTTGAAACTAGGCAATCGTCTACGTATATACCCTATCCTATACAGAAAACACGAAATTTCTATTTATAGCCATCTGAACTTGATAAAAAATCTTGCACACATTATTTCTGAATTACACAGACTATTTTGAGTATTTTGCCCTGAACAATGATTTCGATCCCCATCCTTGGAAGTTTTTCTGGCGACGCCAATAATGATAAGTTATAATTAGTAGGAAATGAAATTAAAAAGGAAAAGAAATATTCGAAAGACTATTTGTGAAGACAGTTTCAAAAATGACTCATGACATAAATTTTCATTGTAGCGAGATATAGGTATTTGCTTGACTTGAATGGAGTGAAAAGTGGAATCATGTTGAGCAGGCCCGTGGAGCAGTAGCTCTGGCAACACTGCACGTACATAATACAATTACCTACGATTGCATTCAATTGTGTGCCACCTATTGGTGACCTGCTGTAACAGACGAAATCGAAGAACTCTACAATAGCTGTGAAAGCTGTAATTTAATTATTTTATTCCGATTTCGACATCACACTGACACCTAGAAATAGTTGTTGAACTAGTATATATATATAGGCTATATTCGGTCGGAAAGCTGTCGCGAAAGGCCCGCCTTAAGGAAAAAATCGTTATCTCATCATAATTTTAATACTATCCTGTATATTCCCATGAAATTTCAAATTCATTTTCCAAGCCTCAATAAGCATTTTTTGATGAAGGAGTTGTTCCAATATTTTTTCCAGTGGTGTCCGAATGAGATGTATACTGGAAAGTTGTTCAGAGAAATTCGATACGTCCTTGCTTTTTCTGGAAATAAAAATCGATTTCAATTTCAATTTTTTTCCTCCGACGCACCGTTTTCTCCGATGAACATAAGAACCATTTTGGCTCATTCAATAAATTGACTTTATTCAAATAAAAATTAGACAAAAACACATCTCACTTACAAACTATTACATGGTGCTAAGTGGGTGCATATCAAATTCCAAGAAGATATCTAGAACAGTGTATTGAAGTCATAATAAGAAAACGATTTTTCCATTGAAATTTTTACACCCTATATATATATATGTATACCTCGAAAGTTGAGAGGGTTGTGGCAAATATTGATATTAAATTTTCTTCTCAGAATGAGCTGAGAAACCATATCCTACATTTTCAGCTATCAATTGAATTACTCAACGAGCTTCATTCGGAAATGACGACAACTCTGAAATTTTCAGATTCTTAAGGCGAATTTTTATATTTTCAACTATTCGATTCATCCATGATGATGATTTCTGCTGCTGGATGGTTCTGATAAATTAGGTCAAGCTTTAGTAACTATAACTCAAAGAACTCGCCATAGGAAGGATCATTTGGTGATAATTATAATGGCAATAGGAATATTTGATATGTTTCTGACTATCGAGTTCAAACCACATAACATCAAACTTATTCTGTTCCATTTTTTTTTCTATAACATGAGAGATTCGTTTTTAGAATGTAGGCAAATATAGAATGTAGGTGAATAACTCCTTCGTGTTTTGAAGAGGAATAAGGTTAAAGTGGAAGAAAAAGGAAAAAGGATAGGGTTGGATTGGGTTGGGTTGAGGGGGTATATGAAAGCCTGGAAGCCAGCGAACGGTTTTCGTGACCGAATGCACAGAGGCTGAGATTCTTCCCTGACCTTCATTCAATATCACTAATAAGTGAATCGACCTCCAGCCGGCACAGTTTCGGAAGGGGTGTCGCGTCAATTGGACGTGGAAAATTGGACGCACGACTATTGGTCGCAGTCAATTGGACGCGGCGACAATTGGACGCGGCGACAATCAGACGCGGCGTCAATTAGACGCGGCGACAATTCGACGCGGCGACAATTGGACGCATGCGTGAATAAAAATAATTTTATAATTCCAATGACATTCATTGTATAAAATATGAAATACTGATGGGCTTATATCCATAGTTATAACAAATACCTATGGCCTCGTTTGACAATTATTTTCCTATCTCATATCGTAATATGAATTTACGATACGAATATAGTACAATATTTTACCTACTACCAAAAACGCTGATTATTTAATCAAATATGAGGGTTGGGCGTATACATACTTGTCGTGACTCTATTGTGTACTCGGTTGTCACTCATTTTTTGAACTGTCAACTTTGACGCGTTCATTTCAAGGTTAGGTTAGGTTAGGTTAGGTATTTGTTATATTATAGATATGAGCCCTGCATATTCCATGCAAAAATTTCATTGGAATTATAAAATTATTTTTATTTTCGCATGCGCTCAATTGTCGCCGCGTCCAATTTTCGTCGCGTCCAATTGTCGCCGCGTCCAATTGTCGCCGCGTTCAATTATCCGCGTCCAATTTTCGTGCGTCCAATTGACCACGTCCAATTGTAGGTAATCCTTCGGAAGGTGTAGTTGCGGCAGCCACCAAAACATGTGAAATAATAATAAAAAGAAACTGATACTTACCACCAAAATGTGTTGAGATGTTGCTCATGATACAAATAGATCAAGAAACGTATCGAGCCGAACTGATACCGCAAAAGCTGAAATTTGGTTTATTTTATTTAGTAGGGAAAAAGTGCCCAGCTGATGCAGTGAAGGACGCTGCGAATGGATATGCACCCGGGCACGTCGTGTCTTTGACTGCATCAGCTCGACACTTCTCCCTCACTGAATTGGAAGCTAGATGTTCTTTCGCTTTCTACTAACATAACTGAAATGGCATACAGTATAGGAATATGTACCACGCTGAATGATCGATTAACCACAAATTGACGATCTTTGATTCAATCAAAAAATTAAACACGTTATTGGCAATTCAATTTCTTGAACACACATACATTCGTTCGAATTCTTTCCGGCCTGTCGATTTTAGGAACTGTCGATTGTCATCTCCGTGTTTTTTTGCAATCGTTGATGATCAGAATTTTGAACATTCTTCAGCTTTCGTGAAATGACTAACTCTCAATGGTCGCTGGCTCCCAGGCTATGGGTTATTTCAGCTATGCCAAAAAAAAAGCCTAATAGTAGTGTTTGAAATTTCGACCCCTTCAGCAAACAAAAGTAGGCATTGAAAATCCTAATATTCCTGATTTGTCTACATTTCCGAATAGAGCTTGAATTGAGAAATATATACTGGCATTTTTGTTCCTGAAAATCGGTCGACGGGTTCAAAATTAGAAGGGTGTTGCAAGCTGAAAACGCACACACTGTATATGATGATATCCTATTCCTTTCAACACCTCCACGACTATAAAGTGTCTAGCAGTCTTGTCAAACAGGCACTAAAATTACCAATTGGTTCCCTTAAGACTGAAGTGAGCTGTTGCTAAAACTCTTTCATACCCAAAGACACTGACAAAATAACCATAGCTCCGCTCTCGTGGTGAATATAATATTTTATAGCATGAAATCATATCTCTGGGGTCACCATACAATCATGTTGCTCGAGTCTACATTGAACCGAAAGCGAGGAAATGGAAATGATTACCTTCCGCCACCAACATGATTTCGCAAATCAACGCAAAATCTGGCACTACCATGGCGCATGGACGGAAGAGGGCTTTCAAGTTTTCTGGTAGTTCTGTTCTTCCCGCATAACCAGGATTCATTGTGATGAACAAGCCGATCTACAAAAAAACTTATATTTTTTAATAAGGTTTCTACTTTTCCGCCAATGGAAACAGATACATTTTATAATATAATAAAGAGTAGATAGATTATATATTCTTCAAGAATAAGAGAATTTGGAATGAAACACAACGAAAAAAAAAAGCGATTCGCATTGAATTTGATGGAGAACCAATACTTTCATCACATCACAACACATAGATGTGCATTCTCATGTCTAGAACGTATGCAATAATTTTCATCAGGTCTATTTTTCATTCTCAATTCCTCACAAACATAATTCGTATTATCGTGAATCGAATGTCAACGATGCATTACTAACTGTTTCGACTTGCCAAGCCCCATCCGTTTCACGGGGACAACTGACAATCAATTCACGAATGCTATCGGATGGTATGGAATGAGCTCAGTACCTCCACACACAAGCCGTTTGGTCGACGATTTTGTCAGTCAGATCGCGTCCACTAGGAAGAAATATCTACTTCACAGGTTGTATCATATCTAGACTGTGATACAATGGCAGTAGATCCGTCAATGAGAAAAGTGAAAATTTAATGAACTTGGGAACATGGGTTTGAAATAGAATAATGAAATCTTGTATGTACACTCCACTTTTCATTATGAATAATTTTATTATATTCCATCAAGAAAGGTCGTTAGTGTACTTCCAGTTCATTTTTTTTAGGCAATGTTCTTCGCAACGACACCGCATAAATTCCAAATTTACAGTTTGGAAAATATTCTGATGATATCGTCTGAGTAATGATCTTTGGATTTCTAAGCATATCAAGCATCGAAATGTCATTGCATGTGCAACGAATATCAGATTATATACAGTAGAAAAGAAAATTTCAAGGCAAATAATATAGGCTACAGAAATATACAGTGTGCATTGGAAAAAAAAATTGGGTCTACTTCCGATCAAACAAGTGATTGAAGGAAATTAACATTGGGTTCAAGGGGAGCGCCATCATCGATAATATAACTCTTGTGAATTTCAAATTTGTATCTCTTTAAATAAAGAACCTACAGGCTGTTACATATCTCATGGTTGTGTCACCCGGTATATAAGTTTTATTGAATCCTCTGCTGAAGTATACGTTGCTTCACCAACTCAAAGTTTATTTCAAATAATTCACTAAACCCCAAGTCCTTTTCGCTCCATCTTTCTTACTTGATAAAACATAGGTACTCACGCTGGGTATCAGTCCGATATCACTTCCAAGAAACATGAACCGCTTCTTCTTGTCCTTGATAGCATCCTGTATAACTTTAACCTGTACAGCAACAACAGAGAGCACTTCTATCGAAATCCTGTTGAATTCATCAAAGCATCCCCAGCACCCTGTTTGTGCCAGTCCTTTATATATATTCCCAATGGACTTGTAATCCATCTGTTCTGAGCAGTTGAATACGTAAACCATAATACCAAGAGCCTTGCCCAGATCTTTGGTAGTCTCAGTTTTCCCTGTTCCGGCTGGACCTGCAGGTGCACCTCCCATGATGAGATGGAGACTCTGCGTCAATGTTATGTAACATCTTGAATAAAACAGCATGAGTATAATACACGATATACGATATTTGACAGATGTTGCTTCACAGGTGATAGTCCTCGTGATTTAATGATGATTTCGTCATCTTTTCTTGAAACGTCTTGGTTGAAATTGTGATATCTTGATCTTCCATATTTTTTACACCGATGATAGAATTTTGTTGTAAATTTCACACCTAACGTTTTCGAATGATAAAAAGCCTGTAGTCTGTACCATAGCAACTAACAAATATCTGGAAATGTGTTCCTCCTCCTAGAGGGAAGCAGCAGGAAATTGTACTGGAAATTGTTTAACGTTTATAGGTATAATACCATTCACATTAACTTCAGATTACATCGAATTTATTCTATAAGTTGATAAGTTCCTTGTTAGAAAATATATGTCTACCAAATTTAGCTGAATGAATCTGAAGAATAATTATTGATTTTTCAAAATCTCTCGGAACGAACGAGAAGAAATTCCTATGATGGTCTGAAAACATCGTGCGTACCGAGGATAGGTAGGAATTGGATTTTTTCTTGAACTGGTAGTTTTAAGTTCCCGAGAATACTTCCATTTGCAAAGAAATGTGATATATATCAGGGAAAAGAGTACTCAGTTTTGTTCCGTGGAGAAAGAGTAATTTATGAAAAGTGACATTTCATAACCTGAGCAGCGTATGTATTGTGCCACCTAGGGAGCCGATAATCCGGATAACCAGTTTCACAGAATGATCTTTGATAGAGCCTGCGGTGTTCGAAGAGTAGATCTCGATATTTTGTCCGTTTTCCATGTTTCCAATTCACTAGAACCCATATGAAGAATTCAGCCATATCTGTGTTATTCCCAGATAGCAAGCTTCACATCTCAACTTCACCAACACCAACAAGTATTTCCTAATCCAACCAATCTCCTTGAATCTTCATCAAAACACAAAAAAATTTCACTTGTGAAGCAACACCCTGTGGAATTTCCTCAGCAATATGGAGCATCGCTCGAATTATGTTCACATGTCCATATCTCTCAAGGTCCAATAGCTCTATTTTTGATCGATTTGGGAGCATTTTCGAAAAGGCTGAACTACAGTTCACAACACACCAAATGGACCACTCATAATTTGACTCTTTTTCGAAGACCTGTATTTTTTGAAAAAATTGACAGATCTTCATGCATTTCTCGATATTGGATGTGATATTTCATCGGCTTCAAAGAGAGCTTGAACACTCTGGAAAAGTCCGCAAAACAAAACATACAAAGGGTAATGTGGAACCATTACACTATGGTCTACATTTCCAATGCTGCCAGAACTCGAGAAATTTTTTTTCTGATCAAAAGTCAGTCATATTATGATACATTGGGACCTCAACTCGGGACCATTTCGTGATTTCTCCTTCATTGGCCATTGGAACAAAAATTAGATTTTTTTACAAAAGTCTTGATTGTCTTGACTTTTTTGTCTAGAACTCCACTTGAGCTGAATATTGGGAAGAACTGTTCCCATGTTTTGTGGACGACAATGAAAGACGAAAAAAGCATTATTGTGGAATATACAGGGTGATAAAAAAAGAAGACAAAATCCTATTTCGGTAGAAAAAATCCCAAACGGTGACTAAAACCATGGCCAATTCGATTCAGTATATTCAGAAACGGCCTTCTCGATATATATTGTTTATATTAGACTATTATTATTATTATTATTATGAACTGTCAAGGTAAATGTTGTCAAAGTGACAAAACTGAACATATCATGGCTCTCAATATGTTCATTATTCATTGATGATCGCTCTCAAGTACGTGTTCTTGTAATTACTATACACACTATTCACGGCATTCAATGAAGAAATATATAAGTGACCTCCGTATATGATAACAGAGGCAACAGTCCTCAGTGATCACCTGATGTCTCTAGGGAAGCATTCGATCCCGAAAATCTATCCTTGGAATAAAAATTATCGATTATAATTCATGAACGTAAAATATGGAAATTTTCATCCTGTGTGTCAATTAGAGGTGAATTTTCGAAAATGTCTCGAGTTAATAGTGTAATATGAACAAAATATATCGAGAAGGCCGTTTCTGAATATACTGAATCGAATGGACCATGGTTTTAGTCACCGTTTTGGATTTTTTTACCAAAATAGGATTTTGTCCTATTCTCTTATCACCCCGTATATTCCACAAAGGTGCTTTTTTCGTCTTTCATTGTCCTCCACAAAACATGAGAACAGTTCTTCCCAATATTCAGCTCAAGTGGTGTTCTAGACAATAAAGTCAAGAAAATCAAGAAGAAGAAATCAAATTTTTCTTCCAATGGCCAATGAAGGAGAAATCACGAAATGGTCCCGAGTTGAGGTTTCAATGTCATAATATGACTGACTTTCGATCAGAAAAAAATGTCTCGAGTTCTGGCAGCATTGGAAATGTAGACCATAGTGTAATGGTTCCACTTTACACCCTGTGTATGTTTTCTTCTGCGGATTTTTCCAGAGTGTTCAAGCTCTCTTTGAATCCGATGAAATATCACATCCAATATCAAAAACTGCATGATTTGTTCAAAAAATACAGGTCTTCGAAAAAGAGTCATATTATGAGTGGTCCATTTGGTGTGTTGAGAACTGAATGTTAAACCATGTTCCATGGCAGCCCGGCTATAACCGTGGGAATCGATAAATTAAATGACCCTAGAACCGACTGGTGAGTAGTAAATCTCAGAAGTTTAGCATCTTCTCGGAGGGGTATTTCTGATGTGTGATAAAAATGAGTCGACTGTTGTATAACAGCCCGTATAATAACGAAAATATTCATACATCTTGTAATTTCATCACTTGAATTTGTGTTCTCAGACATTTTGTGCGTACCGTTTGACCTGAGTGTATTTTCGAAAATGTCATGCGGCATAGAAAGTGGCTTTTCAATGGAACAGCAAGGAAAGGTGTACTTTCTTCGCCTGAGCAGGAATACTTTGTTGCTATGAAACGTTCTTTTGTAATTTGAATGAAATTGGTAATCAATATTGATACTGACATTAGGTGAATCCAAAATGATGGAGTTTTCAATAAAAAATTACAGAAAATTGGTTTCATAACATTTGGAATAATAGTAGATTGTTTTATTAGGATCAAAAGTGACACTTTGTTTAACAAGCGAATTTTGCATTTGCGAGGCGGAGCATATAGCGAAGCCGAGCAAACAAAGACACAGTTCTCTTATTTGGAACAAAAACCCTGTAATTTTAGAAGACAACATAAATGAGGATTTGAAAAAAATGGAAGAATGACTATACTCCAATCTTCTCTCTATTAATTCTAATAAAACTCAATAAATAATTCCCCATCAAAGAAATAACCAAAATATTGATTTGAATATTAGAATGAAAAATGGTAGATTGAAACAAACTACCTATACCAAATACCTTGGTGTTTGAATGTAAAGTTAACATGAGACAAGTATATTGGCATGCTCAAAGAAAAAATTTCTTGCATAGTTATGGTGCCCTAAGAAGATGTCCAAAAGTTATCCCAAATATAGCAAATACTCTCACATCCTTAATGAACTATCTCATAAATATTTGGGGTTCATGTTCCAAGAATAACTGCTATATAAAAAGACACCACATCAAATCAACTTTATAGAGAAACAAACACATATTCTTTGGAAAAGCACTATCTGATAAGTACTCTCAAAACACCTCAAATCTAACTTCATATTGGTAAGGAATTCTCAAATCCATGAACATCATACTAGACAATATGACTAGACACGCAGCTCAAAATTCAATGAATTACCTAATGATATCAAAAGTTACACAAATATCACCCTATTCAAAATTGAAGTCAAGAGACATATCATCTTGCATAGAGAAAATCAAACCTGAGTGAATGATTGCTCATTCACTATAGTTATTTTTGTATCTAGAGCGCGAAATGCTACTTTGGTGATCGAGATCTGATTTTTTTTACGAGGCGTAGCCGAGTTAAAAAAATAGTCGAGATGACGAAAGTATTTCGCGCTCGAGTTGCAAACAACATTTTTTATATAATATATAAAATATAGTTCTGAAGTAAAAATATGCCTAGCTTGATATAAAAAATAGGAATTCCCATTCGTGCGCTCCAAGAGATAAAACATAGTTATTGTTGAACATTCAGAAATAAATGATTTCGTGGATGTTTGCTTGATTGAGGACCATAAAGTTGAAATATAAATATCTTATATATTTTACATAACCATGCGCGAAGTAGGTACTTCGCGCACTGTTTTACTTCGCGCATTGTTTTGTGCAAGGTATCATGGTAACGTAGGAAACTGAAAAAAAGTGTCACTTCGCAATTTGTTATCAATGCGCGAACCCTGTCATTTTTTCACGTTTGTAGAAAACTTTATTTCATCATGTCATAATGTACTTACAATGAGCTTTTTGTTTCATTATCATTATTTTTGAATCTGTTGTTTATTTCAATAACTATAATTTGATTTAATAACGCATGAATAATCTCATACCAGATATGATTATGTACTTCCTTATACCAGAGCCTATTCTGTCTGGAAGTTATTTGTTCAATAAATAAATAAATAAATAAATAAATAAATAAATAAATAAATAAATAAATAAATAAATAAATAAATAAATAAATAAATAAATAAATAAATAAATAAATAAATAAATAAATAAATAAATAAATAAATAAATAAATAAATAAATAAATAAATAAATAAATAAATAAATAAATAAATAAATAAATAAATAAATAAATAAATAAATAAATAAATAAATAAATAAATAAATAAATAAATAAATAAATAAATAAATAAATAAATAAATAAATAAATAAATAAATAAATAAATAAATAAATAAATAAATAAATAAATAAATAAATAAATAAATAAATAAAATCATTCATGTTATTTAATTGTGAATGTTAATGAATATATTTATATTCATATGAGATGCAATGTAATGTTTATGGCAAAGAATGAGATGCTAGAATATTATCCAACAAGCGCAT